AGAGGAGAGGAGAGCAGAGGAAAACAATAAGCCGGCTCCCAGGGAAAAGCAGACGTAGACGCTAGCGAAGGCTGGGCGAGAACAGCAGTGAAGTATCTTCATGATCAGGTCGTTGAAGCTTCTTCCCTCTTGCAGGTCTGAAAGCAACAGACAGCGGATCGTATTTCAGCTCCCAGGACTCCACCTGCCCCTCCGATTCGGGATCTGTGGAAGAGGTGGACGAGTACGAGATCCGAGGTAGGATGAGCTCCGTAGCATGAGCCCTGAGCTACCCTTCCTTTACAACGTAGTCCTCGACTTACGGCCATTCATTTAGTGACCGTTCGAAGTTATGACGGCACTGAACATCAGCGACCTGGGAGCGTCTTCCACATTTAACTGTTGCAACATCTCTGTGGTTGCACGATCACTTAGTAACGGGACGGCTCCTTTATTGGAATAAATCGAGGACTTAGCTGTATGGCAATGGGTTTTTCCGTTCTCCTGTTGAGACACGCTCTCCTGTCATCCCCTGCATGTCCTGCAGATGGAAACGAAGGATCCAACCTGATTCACATGTCCAACAGTGACCTGTCTGTCTCGATGGCCTCGTTGTTTTCAGGTAATCACTTTCCCTTCCTGAACCCTTGGTAAGTCCATATCAGATAGGACAAAATAGATCGGGTGTCAGACCTGCCCAGATTTGGCCCTTTAGGCAAGAAAGACCCTCAACTCCAATTGTAGTAAAAGGTATACTTTACTAAAAGCCAAGTGGTTTACAGTATACCAATACCAGAACTGAAGTTTGCGCAGCCAATTTTCCCAGTTAACTTCCTCTGTCCAGTTCCTCCCCCCTTGCTGCTCGCTTATTGTCCATATTTTAATTCTTTATATGTCCTACATTTGTATATTAAAACAGTCCCATTCCAGTCAAAAATTGATTTCCCTCACAACTGAAAAAGAGCCAAGTTTCCCTACCCCTGGACTAGAAGACGTCCGAGGTCCCTTCCAACTATGTTGTTCTGCCTTCTCTTTCAAATTTGACATTTTTTCATCTCTGTTGTGTTATTATTTTTTTTGAAAAAGTTTATTTTAACAACAAAGACAACAAATGAAACCATCTTTCAATTCTACAGTGTGTCGGTTGGGTACATATTATCTTGCGCGCATAATAAAGTTATACATTTCTTCTTATACCTTTATAAACCATTCTAATCAGCATTTTATATCGTATTGTACAAATGTTATATTATTATTGACATTATAATTGTCATCTTTTAAAAACATGCCTCATTCTTGCTAAGTTATATTCATTCTCTACCTCATTCAAGGTTAGTCAATTATAATATATTACAAGTATTGCTACATATTTCAATTTCTTATTTTTCTATCCTGCGATGACCCAGGGTGGGATACAAAATAAACACAGTCACAAAAAACGGGTGAAGCCCCTTTTATTCCTTCACTTGGCTTCCAAGCTCCAAATATCCTTGACTGGAGACAAAAAACTCCAAGCAGTTACAAGAAGGAAGAAATGCCATTTAAATTCTAAAGAGTAAAAAGCAACACAAACCAGGCAAGATAAGGGCTGGAGGACATCCACAGATAACAGAACACACGCTGGGAAGGACGCCAAACTAGGAGAGGAACCATAAACCAGAGATATTTCCATGCTTTGTTTCCAGCACTGGCCCGTATGCATGTTCGTCCTCTTATCCAGTTGTCACAGCTGCAGCCCATTGAAGGGGATCAAGGCCCTCTCCTCCCCCATAGACCACGTCTCTCCCTTATCCTCTCCTCCCTGCGTGCCCTAGGATGGAGAGGGGATGGGCCTGGGTCCTCCTCTGACGGCCCAGCCGGCCTCTGCCCTTCCCCAGCCTCCTCCACAACCTCTGGAGCCACCCTTCCACTCCCTGTCGGCTGTTCCTCCTCTCCCTCAGAGTCAGTCTCCACGGGGGCATGAAATAGCCGTTCATAAAATAAATCCCAAATTTTATAGTACTCTTTTTCCTCCTGTTCTCCAATTGCCATTGTTAATCTACTCATTTCCGCACATTCCATTATTATTTTTTAATTGTTTCCTCCCCCGTCAGAATTTTCTCATTTTTCGAACTTTGTGCAAATGCAATTCTAGCTGCTGTTAATACATTAGTAATTAAATATGTCATCTCTCTATTATAACCTTATTTCTGTTACGTTAGATGCGGACATCAAGAGGAACCAACCTCCGAGTAAAAAGTCCTTCCTTTCCTCCGGTTCCGCGTACGTATGCCTTCTTCTTCATTTCCCCCTCCCTCAGCTCAGCCCAACCTGGATTCAGAGACAGGTAGTCCTCGACTTGCGACCACAACTGAGCCCAAACATTTCTGTTGCTAAGTGAGACAGTTGTTAAAGTGTGCTTTGCCCCCATTTTATGACTCTTCTCGCCAGCGTGGTTAAGATAAATCCTTGCGGTCGTTCAATTAGCAACCCTTCGATTCATTCAGTGGTTAAGTTTAATCCGGCTTCCCCGTTGACTTTGTTAGTCAGGAAGTCCCAAAAGGGGATTGTCAACTCATAAAACATTCCTAGGCCTGTTTTAGTAGTTGCCATTAAAAAAGGGAGGGCGAAGGAAATCTGCAGCGGTTTGGAAGCGGAAGTCCATTCCAACTCTTTATCTTTAAAAGATTGTGACTAAACTACCAGAGCTTTTGCCCGGGAATATATTTAATTGGAGAACATGATGGATGACGCCCAGCCTGTGAGCGTGCCCAGTTGGAGAATCTGATTTATGACACACCCGGGGAGGGAGGGGGGGGAAACAGGGTCACAGGGGACTGTAAATGACGTATGCCAGAGTTGGCTTCATCCAGGGCAGGGCCAGTATGTCCCCTCTAATGAATCCTTCGAAGTTGTTTGAAGTTTGGCTCGAGAATCGTGATTTCATTAGGGCGGTTGCTGGAATCCTGACAGAGATCACATTACCCCCCGGGACACCGCAACACTCGTAAATATGAACCAGTTGCCAATCGCCTGAAGTTTGATGGCTTTTTCCTTAAACCCCCCCCCCCCAAGTCTACACACATCTTAAAAGTTGTCAAGGTTGTCTGGTTTGGGGGCATTCTGACTGTTGAGCTCCACCCATACAACCGGGGGGGTTTCTGGGAGCGGAAGTCCCCACAGCTTAAAGTTGCCGCGGTTGAAAGGCCCCGAGGATCCCACCCTGCTTCTTTTACATGGGTTGTTGTCTCAACCGCTTCCTCCAGGAGCTACCACAGCTTCCTCAACTCCAATTCGGCAGAAGCCGTAGCCATGGGCTTACTCAAGCAGTTCGAAGGGATGCAGCTGCCCGCGGCCTCCGAACTGGAGTGGCTGGTGCCCGAACATGACGCCCCACAGAAGGTAGGTATCTTTGGGCAGAAGGTCAGCCACTAATGGCTGACTAATTTCGCTTGCCTTCCCACCTTCGTTGCGTGAGTCTTTGGTGTATAGCAGAGGTGGGCTTCTGGGGGTTCACAGGGATTCGGGGAGAGCCCCCTAGCTAAGATTCTGCACAGCTTGGAGAATGCGATGACCTGAGGCGTGGCACAAAAGCCACAAAGTCACAAAAGTAGGTGAAGTCCCTTTCATCCCTCCAACTTGGCCCCCAATGTCCAGTGATCATCGGCTGGAGAGAAAACTCTCCCAAGAACAGTTTTTAAATGGAAGAAATTCAGTCCAAACCCAAAGTACATATAAATTATAAATAAAAACCCAACACAAACCACAACTGCAGCAATTAACAAGACAGGGCAGGATAAGAGATTGAAGACCTCAAAAGGTAACGAAACACACAGTTGGGAGGATGCCAGAACCCAGATAAGATGTGACAAACAAAGACAAGTCACGATTTGCTTCCAACAGCTTCCTGTGCACAGCTTCCCTTTTTAAACACTGTGTTCCTGGCTGTAGCTAATGAAGGGGATCAGGGCCCTTTCCTCTTTCGTAAGCCACGCCATCCACGTTGCTCCCTTCTCCATTCCTCCCTGCGTGCCCTAGGATGAAGAGGGGGTGGGCCTGGGTTTTCCTCTGAATGCCCAGCCGGACTGTGCCCTTCCCCAGTTTCCTCCACAGCCACCGGAGCCACACTCCCACTCCCTGTCAGCTGTTCGACCTCCCCCTCAGAATCAGATTCCAACAGGGGCATGACAGTGAATCCCCAAATCCCACTTCTGGCTGGCCCCGCCCTCCCCTCCCAGGAGTCCCCACGTGGCCCGTTTTGGATGCAGGTAAGTGCAGGGCATGAGAGGAGCAGTGGTGGCCTTCAGCCGGTTTGCACCGGTTCACGCGAAGCAGTAGCAAGTATTTGGCGTGGGTCGCCGAACCGGTAGTAACTGCTGGCTGGCCACGCCCCCAACCTGGTTGCCCCTCCCCTCCTCACCCAGTCAGTCCTTATCACGCAGGCGTCACATCGCTGACTGCATCCTTCCCTGCCCATTCCCTCATTCCTTAAGTTATTTTTTTCTCCTCCCGACAAGTGCAGCTCTCGGCTCACAATCAGGAGGCTGTAAGTTCGATCCCAGGTAGAGGCCGATATTTCTCTCTCTGGGCACACTAAGAATATATCTGCCGAACAAAACTCCACGTTGGCAACGGGAAAAGCATCTGGCCAGTAAAACACTCCGCTAGCTCCATTCAGCTGCCCAGATTCCATCCCGCAAGGGATTATGGGGTCGTTAAAAGAAGATGATAATGTTGCAGGATCCAACCTGGGTGTGGTCCACTGGGGCCAGAGGTTTTGTCTTCCGAGTTCTCGGACACGTGCTGGAACCCATCTTCGGGGAACTTCTCTCTATACTATTTTGTGTTGGTTTTCAGGGCCCGATAAAGTTTCTTAAAAAGCTTTTTAAGCGCCCCAAGTGGTATAAGAAAAGACGGCTCTCCGCCAAGCTACTGCTGGTAGGTGCTAAGGGGAGCATGGTGCCAACCGACCGTGTGCTTTTTTTCAACACACACACACAAAAAAATGCATCGGGAGTGCTGCTGTGGTTTGATGTGGAGTGTACGGTAGAAGCCGAAAGAAGAAGAACATAGTATTAGGCATGTAACCGGGGCTGTTGGCAGGAGAGTTCAGTCGTCTCGGTCTGAGTTTCATAAATACAGCGGTAAAGATTGCATCCCTGGGCCACACAATTCCTCGTGTAAGAATTTGGGTACAGTTTGAAAGCATTTTGCAGTGGCATGGGTCAGCCACAGGGGCAAAGTCAAATTGACTTACTCTACAGTGATACAGAATAGACGATAGACAAGCCCAGTCCCAAAAAACGCCAGGGAATTCTTGGAAGTCTGGCACTCGGAGAGATCAGCCATCAACAGGCCCAGAGAGATAAACCATGTTTGCACGCCGTTCCAAAGAGACGATCAGAAAGACCAAAACACCACCTTGCCAGCAAGCTACAGCCAGATAAGCAGAGATTAAGGTCAGGATTAATATTGGACCAACAAGAACTGATAACACACCAGTTAAGGAAATAACTCAGATAAACAATCGCCGAGTAATCAGTCTAATTAAGGACTTGCCAACTACCTTCACGCCAACACTGACAGGGCAAGCCGTTTATATATAGACAGGGAGCAAACTCCACATTTCATTGCCCTGATGGCATTACCTAGTTGGGCTATGAAACATCTGCAAGATAACCGATAACCTCAGAGAGCACCAAGGATCCCACAGACCTCCTCATCTTCCCACAAACTCCGCTCCTTCCTAGCACTGATGATGTTCCCTAGCTGGGTAATAAAACATCTGCAAGAAAACAACCAAACGCAGAAAACACCAAGGACCCCACAATTATTTTCCTCCTCCTCCTCCTCCTCCTCCTCCTCCTCCTCCTCCTCGTCCTCCTCTCCACAAAACCCACTCCCTTGTAGCACTGATGATGTTATCTAGTTGGGTAATGAAACGTCTGCAAGAAAACCATCAAGCTCAGAGAGAACCCAGGACCCCCCCTCCTCCTCCTCTCCACAAATCCCACTCCCTTCTAGCCCTGATGATGTTCCCTAGTTGGGTAATAAAACATTTGCAAGAAAACAGCCCAGCTCAGGGAGCACCAAGGGCCGCACAATTCAACCTTGAGCCACAAAAATCCAGGCCGTTTAATTCGCTCTTTGGTACAAATCCGTAAAATGTGTGGATTTAATAACCAAGTGGAGGGGTGCGGTGGCTCCGTGGCTAAGATGCTGAGCTTGTCGATCCGAAAGGTCGGCAGGTGGGCGGTTCAAATCCCTAACCCTAACCCGAGGCTTCTAGCAATGCTGTGGTCATAAAAAGGTGTTAGAAAAAAGGATTTCAGATCAGAAACAGCCCTGTTTACATTCCTTGAAAGTGCAAAAGCTAAGGCAAAGTTTTTTGCTTTGTGTGACAAAAAGGGGAGAGGGAGAAATTTCACACTGGGTTGAAAACAGGACTAACAATGCTAGTGTGGACTCTTAGGTGGTCTCAGCACGTGGCCAGGATCCCTTCCGCCTTCCTCTACTGTTTTAACTCAAGCACCTCCCGATTCACTCCTGCGTCGGCTTTGCAAATAAGTCGTAGCTGCAACTGGTAGTTTATGCCTTTCTGCTTCCTTCCTCCCCCACACGATGGTCCTGTCAACATCCCGCTCAAGAATCTATCTATCTATCTATCTATCTTTCTTTCTTTCTTTTTCTTTCTTTCTTTCTTTCTTATTATCTTTCCTGTCTATCTTTCTATATATCTATTTCTTTCTATCTATCTATCTTTCTATCTACTTCTATCTATCATCTTTCTATCTTTCTGTCTGTCTGTCTGTCTATCTATCTATCTATCTATCTATCTATCTCTATCTTTCTATCTATCTGTTTATCTATCTTTCTATCTCCCTATCTAAAATATATATATATACATTTATATTATTTATATTTATATTATATTTATATTATATTTTTATTTTATTATATTATTATATTATTATATATTTTTATTTTTATTTGATATATATATTATTTTTATGTTGTTTATTTAGATTATTATTTTATTTTTATTATATATTATTTTTTATATTATATATGGTGTATGTGTGTGTGTGTGTGAGATGACCGGAGGGGGTGGTGGTGGCACAAAAGCAACACAGTCACAAAAATAGGTAAAGTCCCTTTAATTCCTCCAACTTGGCCTCCAATGTCCAGTTATCATCGTCTGGAGAAAAAACTCTCCCAGAAACAGTTTCTAAAGGGACAAAATTCTGTCCAAACTCCAAGTACATAGAAATTATAAATAAAAAATCAACACAAACCACACTGCAGCAGTTAACGAGACAGGGCAGGAGAAGGGATTGAAGACATCAAAAGATAATGAAATACACACACACTTGGGAGGACACCAGAACTCAGATAAGACTTGACAAACCAGAATAATTTCACGCTTTGCTTCCAGCAACTTTGGCATGTGCAGTTTGCCCTTTTAAATAGTCTTCCCAGATGCAGCCCATGAAGGGGATCAGGGCCCTTTCCTCCCCCATAAACCATGCAATTCACATTTCTCCCTTATCTGCTCCTCCCTGTGTGCCCTAGGATGAAGAGGGGATGGGCCTGGGTCTTCCTCTGAATGCTCAGCCGGCCTGTGCCCTTTCCCAGTTTCCTCCACAACCACTGGAGCCACACTCCCACTCCCTCTCAGCTGTTCCACCTCTCCCTTGGAATCAGATTCCAACAGGGGCACGACAGTGTATATGTCCAAGCTTAACCCTGGAACGCTTCGAGAAATTCCAACCAAACCTGGTACACAGATTATTTAGTCTCTGAAAACAAATACTGTGGGGATAAGACACTTAACAACCTTGGGGTTGTTGTGCCTTCAAGTAGCTTCTACCATACTGCCTTAAAATGGCTTCTACTGTACAGCACTGTGGAGTTGCCATGCTAATGGCTTCACAGTATTTCACAAGGGGGCTGTCTCTGGTGAGGAAAATCCAACCTTTCCTTTGTTCCAGGTCGCCAAAATCAGGGCTTTGCCTTTCTAATACGGGATTAGGATAAATAAATACCTGAGCAATGCCGGGTTATTGGCGAGTCCAAAATAAAATCCAGGTTCATCCCCATTTCCTACTGTTTATTGAATGCATTGTATGGTAAGGTCGAGGCAAAACTAACTCTGAGGTTCCCAAACAGCAATTCCTAGATTTAAATAATAGAGGACGTCCTCGACTTACAACCAGTTCGCTTACTGACTGTATCAAGGTGACAACGGCACTGAAAAATGTGACTCAGGACCATTTTTCATACCGAAGACCGTTGGCGACATCCCCGTGATCACAATTCAGGTGCTCAAAGTACGAAACCCTACGCCATTTCAGACAAACGGCTGTCCAATCTCATCTTAAAAGCTTCCTGTGTTGGAGCTT